AATGTGAGGATTAATGATATTATAGTTCATTTTTGACTTATCATTATTATTATTATAATAAGATATCATCGTGATGTTGAAGACTGGCAACTTGGCAACAATGTGCTGAATGCTGAGAACTGACGAGGCACCGCCCACAATTCGTGCGCTGTGTTGTCACGTTTACCCTCAAATGTCCTCTAGTGTAAATCAATATAATAATTTCATTATCAATACAAATGGATTATAAGCAATAAGTCACAAAAGATGAGGGAATATTTCAAGACAATTGATTTTTTATGTCTGATTAGGAATATATCCAATACGAAATTGAGAATTTATGAATTATTGGATAACTAATATTTCTGAAGTTCCAATCGTATTTCAACATATGGCAACTGTGCTATGGTTTGTTCCTACTCACGAATTCATGACGTCGTCAGTTTCTACTCGCGGAACATTTGTTGCCATTTGAAAATTACTGTGGCATTATTGTTGATTCTAGCATCCCAAAATCTAACGAAAAATTCTACAAAAATATTGAATTGAAAGGTATTTGAGTGATGATTCTATTTGAGGAATAAAAAAATATAGTCCAGTCGCCTATTAGTAGGTTGACTAGTGGGCGATAACCTCTAGGGGGGGGGGACAGATATAAAGAATGAAGAAGAGACGAGACATTGATCACTTTTAATTTAGGCGGTATGACGTAGCTCAGGACTATTAGGTTTTAAACATAAAATCTTTTATAACTAGCTAAATATCTGCAAACGTACTCATAATACTCAGAAAATTAATGTCCTGAAACTCCCCACCCCTCCGCCGCTTGCGTTCCTGAATACACCCCCGTCTTCTAGAATACCGATTGATTTCTTCCTAGGAAACTAAAAACTTACTACGAAGGCTGACTAACGCTGTCAATAAAGATCTTGTGGAAATTACAGCCTGGAGAAAGAATCATCAACCTAGTTGAATTCAACGCCACCAAAATTCAAGACTGTATTTTCTCTAGAAAGGCGGAACTCAGTATGCCTGATATAACAATAGAGAGTTGAAGTGTTGCCACGAACGTTAACGTTAACGTAGAAATTGACAGCTACGCATGCGCATTTTCCAATTCTTCACGTTCGCGTTGGTAGTGGGCTTACGGGTGTACGTTATCTCACGTTCTTTCACGTATACCTTAAATATCAACGTACGTTAACCGAACCGAACTCTAAATATGCCGATTAGTCAAAATCATCAAATTCGGGATCCTTAAGGAGTTCTGCATCAGGGCAACCATCCATTTTAACACGAATAAATGTTTTGATCTAAACAAACGACCAAAGCTGACCAATACAAACTGATAACATAATATGTTATAACGTTACGATGACAGTGACGACTTCAACTCAATTTGAAGACAATACATAAACGTTATTTTTCGTACTTTAACGTTTACGTGGAGGTCTACGTACAGTGATTACTTCAACTCTCTATTGTCTGGAACCATACCATTCCCACCATAAGACCACACTATATCTATGTTCGATATTTTCATCAGCAATACTTTCTCATTGGGAAATTATGTTCGATCCATTGGTCGGGGTTAAAAGATGTTATGTGTGTCTGTTTGTGTGTTTCTCCACCAAAGCAATACACTTGAAATTGGTAACAAGTTTGTCATCTGAGGCGTTTCTTGGAACCTTTAGGATATTTGTATCTCGTAGGGGTAAACCCAACACCATTCATTCAGATAATGGATCAACATTCATTGGGATATATCGAAGACTGGAACCTTTGGCACGATAATACACTACACTGTTTTACCACTAACCAAACCGATTTTTTAACGCCTCGACACGTGTTTCGCTAACTATGTTAGCATCTTTAGGAGAAGATTAAAACTTTCATTGGGACTAAAGAGTTAGACACATTAGGCAAATTTTCGGAAAAAGAAAGCGAGTCATTAGCATTTTTATGTTTGAATAAAAGAATAAATTTTAAATGTATTCTTGCAAATTCACCAAATTTCGGGGGGTTATGAGAAGCAGGAGTAAAATCTTGCGAATTTCATTTGAAAAGGGCGATGAACAATTCATCGCTAACGTTTGAGCAATTTGACACACTGCTCACACAAGTGGAGGTGGTGTTGAATTTCCATCCATTGGTCCCTCTTTCCTCTTCACCTGTTGATATGGACGTTATAGCCCCATCACATGAAAATTACATGCTGATGATATGGATTTAATTCAACTGATCAAAGAATTGTATATTTTTCTATCTAATGAATATTTTCAGATCAATTTTATAGTTCTTCTTAATATTTGAAGTTCCTTCAGGAAGATACTATTGTGAAAAATAAATATACGAATTAATTTTCATTTTTATATTATGACGCAAGCGGCGGAAGCTTGGGGAGTTTTGACTAGTTGCTAATTATCAAATGCAGCGTCAGTATACCAAATTTCAGCTATTTTTGAAGGATTTCAAGTATTTGGTCAGTTTTAATCTAATAATCCTGAGCGAAACTAAAATTATGGTTGTTGTGCGAATTCATGTTGTAGCATCCGAATATTTGTTATGTTATCCTTCTTGTTGGTTTGTTGTTCGGAGGAGAAAACTGTATTTTTAAGCATAAAAAATTAAGGAGTTGTTATATCTAGCTTGTGGTGTTTTGTATAAGACAGTCTCCTGTATACTGCTTAGCTTAAGCTATTTTCGTACATTTACGTAGGTACTTACATCAAAGACTCTTCTTTGTTTATTATCCATTACATCAATCCACGAAAAACCTTGCCTATGTTATTCTATCCAGCGCATCCGTGGCAAAAGCAAAATAAATAAATCAAAATATGCTAGGTAGATATCATAATAATAATACTAACCACACTCCTTTGCTAATGTCATCACAGCATACCACATCCTCACGAAAAGAAAAAGTTCTAATAATGTTTTTTACTTCTTCATTCCTCGAAGTTATTTCAGAATGAATCAAACGTTATTCACAAATGCGAAAATTGCGCAAAAAAATCTCATGGCATTAATGTCCATGATGTCATATACTCTGTTTTTCAAATAGCTGCCCAAATTTTCGATATCGTTTATTTAAAAGATTTAGTAACTGCGTATATGAAGATTCAATTTCAAACAGGTTACCTCACTTATTCAGAAGAAAATTCACCATTCGACCATCTCGAAATAAAAACAAACAATACATTCGGTAGGTATCGGAAGACATTTTCGAAATTGCCTTGCTCGTTGTCAACAACCAAATAATGGCCAGTTTCAACACTCACTTCAATTTTGATTTCAGTTCTTTGTATACCTATTTTAAGTCTTAGTTGATTTTTTTTTGTTGAAGTGGATCGGAAGGAGAATATATTTTTTTAAACAGAACTGTTATGTATACGAAATTATTATAGATCTTTCAGATCACGAAATGGAAATTCGAGTTGCCATTTGAAAAAACAGAGCATGAAGTCATTTATAAATAAAGATTGACGTGTCCTTGTATTTTTTTCCATTTATCTGAACAGGTTTGATTTGTTTCCACGTCCATATAACCGTCGTGCTTTCTTATCAAATCATAAACATCAATCAGATTTCTAGGAAATGGAACAATTATGCCAAAAATTATCAATGTGATTTCTCGATAACTACATTGCAGTAGCCAGTTGATCCAGCATTTCTCTTTCACACCAGTTCACGGAACAATCCTTTAAAACACCGCATAATATATTAAAATGTTAGACATGCTCTAAGGAGTCATAGGTTATAGACTGGGAGCGGACTTCTGGTGAAATAAAAAGCGTATGTTTAGCCGTATCAAATCATAAACATCATGGAGCAATTAGATTTCTAGAAAATGGAATAATTATGACAAAAATTATCAGTGTAATTTTTTGCTGTACACAGTTGATCCAGCGTTTGCCTTTCACACCTGTTCACGGAACAATCCTTCAAAACATAGCATAATATATTAAAATATTATACATGATCTGAGGTTATAGACTGTAGGCGGGCTTCTGGTGGAATAAAAAGCGTATGTTTAGCCGTATCAAATCGTAAATATCATGGAGCAATTAGATTTCTAGGAAATGGAATAATCTCGACAAAAAATTATCAATGTAATTCCTCCATAAGTACATTCCAGTAGACAGTTGATCCAGCATCTGCTTTTCACACCATCAGTTCACGGAACAATCCTTCAAAATACCGCATAATATATCAAAATGTTACACATGATCTAAGGTCATATAGACTGGGAGCGGACTGGTGAAATGAAAAGCGTATGTTCACCCATACCAATTTATCCAGAAATAGAGAAAATATTCAAAAATAAAATACGCTTCTATAGATACGTAAACTAATAAAAAGTTGAAAATATATTAATGAAAGCTTGTGGATTGTTTTGTATTCATCCATATTTTTTTTTAGTTTGCCAATCTATAGAAGCGTGTTTCTTTAGTTCATCGAAATATTATCAATTGTTCATTTTTCAGTTCGACTCACTACAAAAGCGTGTATTTAAGTCCTGTCGTTGAATAAAACATAATAGGAGGAACCCATGATATTATAGTTAATTCTTAACTTTTTCGAGCAACCAGCATGTCCAAATATTTCTTATACTCCATAACAAAATATCATGTGAGTGATGGGGACTTCATCGTGCTGAATGCTGAGAACTGACAAGACCACGCCCACAATTCGTGCGCCGTTGTTGTCACGTTTACCCGAGCGTTTGCAGGTTCAAATTTCCTCATTATAACCATCTGTTCTAAAATTGTTCTATCCGTCATTCGGTTGCCCCCTTACGAGCAACCCTCAGAAGTCTTCGATAGTCATGTGCGAGCAAGGAATGACAGGGACCTTACCTTTTATAGAGTTATAGACAAAAAATAATGACAAAAATAATCATCATCAAGTAGTGAAAAACATAGTGTATAGTAAGGGAAAACTCATTCATTTATCACAAATGAACGGAGATATTATCAAGAGCATAGACCGAACAATACAAGTCGACCCTTCTGTTCCAGGCCGATTTCATGTCAACGAATACGAGATAGAACAAGAAGAGCATGGGAGTGGCAGAGGACATCGCTCCCAGCTTCACGCAGAAACCGCAGCTGAGGCAGGAAGATGACGGGAACAAGCTCATATTCGAGTGCCAGCTGCTGGCATCCCCCAAGCCGGAAATACAGTGGTTCCGCAGTGACGTAGCGCTTACTGAGGACGGAAGGACGAACTTCAAGATCCAGTCGATAGGTCCCAACAAGTTTCTGGTCGTGCTCGAGCTGGACGATGTCATCGAGACTGATGCCGGCCTTTATAAGGTCAAAGCGAAGAATGCCATGGGGGAGGTTGCGGCATCGATCAACCTCAATTTTAGCCGTGAGTATTTGATCTAAAGCTGTTCTATCCGTCAGTCGATTGCCCCCTTACGAGAGACTTCGCGATTAGAAAACTGAACGCTCCTTCCACGCGAGTGGGTACCTGGCCCCCAAAAGTAAAATACCTGAGAATTTGTTTATCGAGGTAGCAAAAGTGTCCATTTTCTCCCTTTGCTCCCATGATATTGTCGCAACTCAGATGTTGACCCTTCTATAGGTCGTAACTTACCTACTCGCTTGGCTTTTTGACGAGAGGTTTTGAACATTTCACCACTCAACCGCATTCACCCCAAATAAAGAGTCAAGACAGTTTTTATATAAAATTTGACATTTATTGATTAAATGAAAAAATCGTGAATAAATGGCAGGTTAGCAGAGAAAAAGAACAAAATGGTTTGCCAAATGAAACACAGTGCAAAACAACACTTAAAAAACACTACTCACATTACAACGTCTAGCATGGGGTTGACCAGTAGGATTGAAGTCGAGGAGACGGCAAACATTTTCAATTGATAATTACTAATGACTTGTATTAATAATAATAATGCCTTATCCATTCGGGCACTATTTATATTCGGAATTGATGCTAGGTTCGCAATTTTCCGCAATTGGAATGGCCGTTACCTTTCGGAATTGCTTACCAAGGTATTATCGCACAGTGAGCGGTTTTTTTTGCAAATTTTAAAGGAAAAGGTAGTTTATGATAAAAGATCTTGAAATGAAGGAGAGCTAATTGAGTGATGTTATTCCATAGGCATTTGTACTTCTTGACAATTTACAGGGTGACCCACATTTCGTTGTCCCACTATTACTATATCTCTGAAACGGTTAGTGATAGTAAGTTGGTGAAACGGAACCAAAGTTGCACATTTCAAGGGACATACGGATTATATGCAGAGAGCAAATACATTATGAGCCGTTCCCCAGATAACGATTGAGAAAAAACAGAATTGTCGATTTCCTTCTATCTCGTATATATTCAACATAGTTATTAAATATTTTTTATTCAACGTTCCGTTCATGCAGGGCCACCCTGAACTTTTTTATAAATTACGAACCTGACTTGTTTTCACAAAAATATATTGGCATTTTCATTGTTTATATATAGACATGTATCACACTTCAACATTTGGATAATGCCACACGAGTATCATTTTGAAAAACGTAAGGCCACAAAGCCAACATATTTCAACGTGTTTCCGAATTCAACATTGAATATTCAAGCGGTAACTGCACATATTCGGGTTTTTCATTTTGAAGATACTTCTATTGGGAATATGATTATGAGACCGCTGATGAAAACACATGGTGATGCAGGGTTATACAAGGTGGCGAAAAAAAAACTGCAAAATGTTTAATATACCCAATGTAATTATCATTAGAATTAGAGAAACCGCATTTGATAATGTAGAAGTTTCACGAAAATATTTAATGTTGAATTTAGCGTAAAATAAATGTCCTTTTTGGACAACCTAGAACCCATGAGATTCCATTCAAACAGTGACTCACTTAAATGAACAAATTCTCGATCTTCTTTTATTTTGCACCCTATTGCCAGCGCCCATGAGTAGGTGAAATTCTGGTGCAATGAACTGAATGATTTTTTGTGAAAATCTCATCGTTTGTGGAGTTTTTACATTTGTCATGGATTTACATCAAGCAAGGGCCGAGTCGATTCGAAACAAACCATGGATCATAAGAATTGTTCGAGCTGTTCATGTTTTGATTCATTCAACCAACTTTCTATCTCTAACCGTTTGAGAGAGAGCAACGAAATATGGGCCACCATGTATACAGTGTGTTTTGCTTCAAGTGTAACCAACCTCTTATTGCACGGATCTAATCAATGCCATCAAAGCATGGTGGAGCCGATTTAAACATTTTACTTCTCACAGAAGGTGATTTTTTCCGCCCTTATTTTCAGTACCTTTCAAAATAACCGGTATCATTATATTTCCCAACACTGAAAAAAATTGTCGGTAGTAAATACCAAACGTATAGTAAAATAGGCGCCAGTCACTACATTCATCTTATGATACCACTACAAAATTGTATAATACTATATCAAATATTATCATTACAAAATAATATGATACGATTTTATTTTGGTATCATTTGATGAATTTAGTGATTGGCGCCTATTTCAGTATACGTTTGGTAATCACTACCGACTATTTCTCTGAGTAAAGTGTCAATGTTATTCTCTTTTTTTTTTTCAAATCTTCACCAATCGAAGACTCTTGGCAGTTTTCTATTTGTTTGAAACAGTCGTGCAAATATGATAAGGAGGCTTAAAATTAGGGTACGATCATGAGTTTGTGCCCTTCGGTGTTTTTCGAGAAATATTGTCGCAACTCAGATGGTTATATGGCCAACTGGAAGATTGCAAGAGTACAAAAGGCAAAAAGACCCTACCTAGCAACTACAGACCGATCACACTGCTATTCATTATTTCAAAGATCATGGAGAAAGCTATCAACATCGAGCACATGAAATACCTGGAACATTCAGGTATTATCAACGATAGGTAATATGGCTTCCGTCATCAGAGATCAACTGGTGACCTGCTCGCTTACGTCTCACATATATGGTAGCAATCTATTGAAAAATATGGTGAAACCTTAGCCGTGGCACTTGATAACTCCAAGGCATTCGATCGAATCTGGCACCACGGACTCCTCGCCAAGTTTCCATCTTATGGCTTGCCTCCTCAGTTATGTTCTCTGCTAGCTGGTTTTCTCCCAAACAGGTCTCTTTATGTAGTGGTCGACGGAGTTTCATCTGACTCTCTTATCATAAATGCTGGTGTTCCGCAAGGATCAATTCTAGCACCAACACTATTTCTACTCCATATCAACGATTTGTTGGAAGCAACTTCATGATCAGTATACAGCTTCGCGGATGATAGTATTCTCTATACCGCCTTCTTTCAGGTTTCAATACCAGCCAGGCAAATCCGAAATGAACGAGGGAGAAATGTTGACAACATAAATATGGACTTGGCAACAATTCTCGAATGGGAATCCAATAACTTGGTAGATTTCAATGCGAACAAAACACAAGCATGCCTGTTCTCTAGAGAAGCCGATCTCACTGTGCCCAACATGAGCTTGTCAAGAGTAACCATACCTTTGGAGACATCCATTTCGATGCTTGGTATTACTATCAGCAATAACCTTTCTTGGGAAAATCACGTGAGATCAATTGCTAGGAGTGCATCCCAAAAACTTGGTTTTCTGTTTCGGGCCTTGAGCAATTTCACTTCCAGTCAGCTGCTTATGATCTATGAGGCACAGATCCGACCTGTCCTGGAATACTGTCCCCATATTTGGAGTGCAGCACCCAAACATACCCTAAAACTGTTGGATTCGGTCCAAAAAATTGCAATTCGTCTCGTTGGTGATGCCTCGCTCAGAAGCTCACTCACTTTTCTGGAATACCGAAGGAAAGTTGTCGATCTGGCTCTATTTTATAGATATTTTCATGGACGATGATCTTCTGAAATATCAACAATTGTTCCTTTCTTGGCAGTCCCCGCGAGAATACCCGTCGAGTTGAGGCTTCGCACCCCTGCGTGGTCACTTTGGAGACCTGCAGAACATCTCTTTCCAAAGACTCGTTCATCCGAACAGCGAGTGAATCATGAGTGAATTAATAATTAATGCCATGCCTTATCGATTCGGATACTATTTATATTTGAAATCGATCCAAGGTTTGCAATTTTCCGCAATGGGAATGGCCGTTACCTGGCGGTATCGCTTACCTAGGCAGTTTCGCATGGTAAGCGGTTTACAAATATTACAGGAACTGAAGTCTATGAACTCCGCTGACCGGAACGCATCTACACTGTGCTGGATGTTTCAATTTGAAAAAGTAAATTGAAGGGTAATTGGTTGATCAAATTGTGATGAATCAATTAGTTCTATATCAGTTATATGGAATTAGACAGAAAAATCTTTTTTAGAATAATTTCTATAGTTTCAGTTAAGTTTTAACAGATTTTGTTGTGCAAATGACATTCATAAATCCGTGATTGCCTTCCTGATTTCATGTGAAATTTCGATAAAAATCATTCAAAAAAATCATTCTGAAGGTATCATTGTGCAGAACACAATTATTTGAAATACACTGTATAAAATTGAATAATCGAACCATTCCGAAATAGTAATTCAGCCTTGATTAATTTCGATTTCTTTTTACTATTTTCAGCCATGGATGAACCGAAAGAAAAGTAAGTAAATTCAAATATTCCATGATTCTTATTTTGTTCATCTTCTCATTCATCATAACTCATAATAATACCACAGAAATAGCATCCATTAAAATTGCCCACTTTTGGGTCGTTGGTAAAAAAGCTATCTCTTCAAAGTTTTGGCCCATTTTTCAGACAAATTGACGGCTTAGCACCCACTTTCGCAAAAAAGCCAGCGATTCGACAGGAAGAAGATGGAAAGAGGCTGCTTTTCGAATGTCGAATCCAGGCTGACCCCCGTCCAGTCGTTAGTTGGTTCCACAATGGCAACGCTGTCTCTGAGGGCCCACGTCATAAGGTAACCCTTCCGTGCGATCCGAAAGATGAAAATCTACGCTACGATTCGTATGAAGGAAAACTGAACGCGAGTGTTTTGTTCTAGCATGCTAGATAGTGCTTGAGCCAGGCACGCTTAACCCCCTGCAAAATCCAGCCAAAGATAGGCAACTTGGAACACTTGAGAGAAAATAATGATTCTGTATTCGAGTGACATGCTCCAGGTAGCACAGTGACGTCTGATTTGGTCACAAAACTGACCAATTGACGTAGAAAAATGACGCATTGAAGACCTCGAATAGACGTCAAAATGTCACTGCCACAGGACGTCATATTCAGACGTCCAAATGACGTCTCAGAGTTACCTATAGAGGACTATATAAAAAAATGTAGGGCATTTATAGACAATATATACAGGGTGTTCCTTGAAGACATGCTAATATTCAAGGGGATGATTGATTGATTGATTGATTGATTGATAGCAGAATGATCAGTCAGGGTTTGAAGCCCAAAACACTGCAGCCTTTGGGCCTATTGTATTCCTGATCATGCTGTTGACTTAGGTGAACAGGTTCGCTACCTTGATGAGGTTTAGCAGCCTCTTCACCAGATCATTCTTTGAAAATGCCTCTTGAGAGTTTACTGCTCCCAGAAGGTTGTATCTCCAACGCGCTAGTGCTTCTCACTCCAATATTACGTGGGTGGCAGTTTCCTCCTCCTCATTGCATAATCTGCATATGGGTTCGTCTGTATAGATGCCCATTTGATGCATATGTTTCCTCAAGGGGCAGTGACCGGTTATTAGTCCCGTCACTTGTTTGATCTGACTTCTGTTTAGGCTCAGAATGTCGTTAGTCACTGTTTTGGACAGTGTTCCAACCATCAGTTTACTGTGTCTTTGTCCTGGGACATTGTTCCAGTATGTCTGATGTCTTTCTTGCATCCACCTTGCCAGCCAGCCGCGTATTGAGGTTTTGGGGATACCGAACACAGGTTCCGGCCCCATAAACAACGTCGCAGACCCTTGCCGGGCAAGAGCGTCAGCTGCTTCATTGCCTTCAATTCCCTTATGCCCTGGCACCCATTGAAGAGTTACCTTGTTGTGGTTAGCCAGGGTTAGCAGGCTTTGAAGGCAATCCCAGACCAATTTTGATCTGATTTTGGCAAGGGGATGATCCTTCAACTCATTTCAAGAAAAAAACTTTCCGCTAACGTATGTCCTGAAAGTCTTAACTTTTGAGATACAGGGTGATGGAGTTTCGAAAAAAAAAACAGTTTTTTAATAATAACTGGGATAATATTGTAGACATCTTTATGAAATTTGGTACACATGTTCTATGCATCAAGGTGCATTTTTTGATGTACGCAAATTTTCTTTTTCTCCACCAGTGGGGCCGTTAGGAGGATATGATTGATTATATCATACTTGAAAGTGAGTAACGAAAGAATATATCCAAATTTAATGAAATGTTATGAAAAGTCATTCAATTTTGTACAAAAAAGATCCTCTTGTTGATACCCGATAGGACGCTTCGTTTTACAAAAAAAAAAAAACGGAAAACAAGACTTAAAATTTTGATGTAAATGCTAATTGAGGACTCCATTCAGGACATCCATTACTGTATAACCACAGTATGTAACATTTTGGAATTTTTGCACTTCAGTCGCATAGCACAATAAATTTTGCCATCAGGGAAAGCTATACAGGGTGGACAAAAAAAAAGAATATATGTATATGTTCAATTTGATACCCTGTATCTCAAAAGTTAGGAATTTCACAACATACATTCATATGAAGTTTTATTCTTAAAATGGGTCCAAGAATCGTCCCTCGCATATTGTCATTAAGGAACACCCTGTATAAAGTATTATAGAAACATAATTATACACCATTAACCTCTAACGAGATTCATTTTGATGAGTTGGTCCCTCCGGATATAGTCAGGGCCTACTCTATCTCACCGGGCCGGAGCATTGCTTTCGTGACGTGACACTAGTAGGGACAAAATCAACGCAGTGAAAATTGTCTCTTCCGTTTCATTGATGTACCTCGGGAAAACGGTTACAGTTAGCAAAAAATATCAAGAAGTCAAATATGTAGAGAACAGAATCTTCCAGGAGATGAATTAACTTTCACTGATTTACGATCATTAGTTTCAGAAACATCGCATATCAAAATTAATTGTAGCCATTCAGAATTGTCCATTTTTAAACGGCTACGAAAATTACAATATTCGATTCACAGAAATGATTCAATCATGAAAAGATTTCTCATAGTATCGAGATTGACTCAGTTTTTTTTTTAAATTCCCAAGGGCCAATAACAAACCGATATTTCAATTCAAGTAGAACGATGATTCAGGTGTTTATTACAGAATAGTTCAAAAAGTTCGGACGCCTCCCATGCTAATCCCATCAACCGTAGATATATGCTGTCACTGACTTTTTCATAGGAAATTTAATTGCCTACAAATCGGTGTGATACACATCCACTTTATCTCGAAGGGTTTTAGCAGCGTTTATGTCTAAAGATGATCAGGACGAACTTTGATGACGTTAGAAATCCTATCGCACTCGAGTATGTTATTACACAAAAACGCCTATTTGGTATTAATTCTTTTCTGCTGAAGAGTATATCTTTCAAGAATAACGTTGAATTCATGTAAAAATTTGATTTGAATATATTTCCAAACTATCAAAATTCAAGTGAACAAAATATGTGGAGTTCATATGAACACAACCAAACAAAAATAATTCAAAAAATATTTATTTCAACAATGAGAGATATAAAAATGAATATAACGAACTGAATAACAAAAACCCAGAACAAAGATATATGAATAAATATGGAAAAAATGAATTGAATCCTTGTATACAAACAAAACCAAACAAGATGAACTGTAGAAATGATCAATATAACAAAAAGAAAAAGATAGGTATGACAAAATGAAATGCAATAATAACGAAAAATATATGAACATCTAGATCACAAACTAAAAATTGAAATCTTGACTTATCTCATCCTGAAAGTTTAGTAATTTTTCATTTTTTATTATTGTACTTAATCCTACTATTTTTGATTTTGCAATAATTGTTCAACAAAATATTTGGTTTTAGAGAATGTTCTGATGATTCCATCAAAGGACCCACAACTGCAACATTGATTCTCGGAATAATTGAGAAGGGAATTGATTTTAATTTCAGCTAAATTTTCCAAAACTTTATGATGTGACTTACATTGTAGAAATATTGTTGCGAATTTTTCAGACACCAATATTCGTACGTTTGAACCATACGCCATTCAGAAATAAAATTAGTAATAAATAGTATATCGCCCTTTACCAGTCCAAGGAATTACCGCGAAATCGTAATACAGCGAAATTTGGGTAGGTAGGTACAATGGCCCATTTTTTACGCGCTCTTTATATTTAATTTCTTTCGGACTCATTGTAGGTAACTCTACAATTTTTTCACTATTCAATTGGTGCATTATCCTAGTTTGATATACTGAGTTAGTTGCATCTTATTCCGATTCCAAATTTGCAAAAAATAGTATTCTGTAGTACAACGTACTGATTTTCCATAAAATGGAATTTCTTTACAACGCCATAACTCGGTATTGATTCATCCTATTGGATTCATTTTTTCACCAAAAGTTGAAGAATTCGTTGGAGGTAATTTCGTCTCGATTGAGTATGTTTCTAAAATCTATAGTAAATGAGCTATAGCCTATCAATCACGAACGCACCAGTACGAACTGATGTGAAATTTCAACCTACTAGTGTGACGTTAGCGTCGAGAGATAGGGGATAGACTACGGCCCGGTGAGATAGAGTAGGCTCTGATATAGTCCTGTTCGATCCTGGCGTTATCTTTAGTACGCATCACTATGTGAGAATGAGATTAGCTATTCATATTTGTAACTAAAATCATGTAGCGAGCGTCGGCGAGATATAAGCGGAATAAAAGTAGCTTGATTGCAACGTACCGAAAGTTTGCAAATAAAGCTTCACGATGTAGAGAAACTTATATACATACTCAAATTTTGTGTAATAGACATTATACATTATGACGTCTCCTTAGGTCACTGTGCTACATGGTTATTTGATACTTATGCCCCATACTCATATATTTTTGAAACCTGTCCATATATCCAATGAAACCAGTATACCAGTACACACACAGTTATAGGGTTTCATGTGAACTATCACCTAAGATTGTTTTCATATCTATAGAGTGTTAGAATTTCGAGATATCAGCTGATGATGGGTTTTTTTGAATGGGACACCCTGTATATTATTACAATTTCAGGTCCTCCCTGAAGAGCCGATTCTATAGGGTTTTCAAAAACAAGATTTTCAGATTTTTTGTGTCAAACTTATTTATTATTGAACAAAACGGCTCCCATATTTTTATCTTCACTCTTCATTCACTATCTACTGACATCGAATTGGAACGAATACATCAGGGTGGTTCAAGATTCAGAATTCTGATCACCCTGTATCTGTTCTAAATAAATGTCAGTAGATGGTGAAGTGAGAGGTAAGATAGTGACATGTGAGCCGTTTTGAACAGAAATGAATAGTTTCGATACAAAAAATACTAAATTTCAAAAATCTCGATTTCGAACACCCCATATCTCTGTAATCATTCCCGCTAGAGCCCAAGTCTGATGTATTGATGAAATCAGCTCTCCAAGGAAAATCTAAGAATGCAATAATATACATGGTGTCCCTCTTGAACTAACTCATCATCAGCCGATATCTTGGAATTCAAATGCCCTATAGATATGAAAATGATTTTATGTGGAAGTTCTCATGAAACTGATGTTGTATTCGAATTTTTCCATATATCTGATGGTTTGGCTTATAGCGAAGGAGAACACACTATTGACTGACCCTGTAGACTAGATTCTCAAATTCATGGTTTATATGTGAATCAATGTTAGGAAGTAAGATAAAATATTTTACTTTTGTACACTCGAAAAATGACATTATTCACCTTCCTTCGCAAACCAGTAATGAAGGGGTTCAGTTTTTATTGCACATTCTGTAGAAAATATTAGAAGAGCTCAATAAGTTCAGTTCACACGAATGACAAATAGTTGACTTTGTTGGGACGTCGTTATGACCTCCAGTAATATACGTCAAAATGACGTCCTGAAACATAACGTCATTCATAGGTCTCTGAGTAAAGGACGTCATGGACCAATAATGACCGGAAAAAGACGTCATTATGCCGTCAATCCACTAACCTGTGCTACCTGGGACCTTGAACAAAAATGGAAATTCAAGCAGTTTTTTCTTCATACGAATCGTTGCACGAATATTGAAAAGATATAATGTGCTACGTGGTTGTGTTCTACGTGGCACCAGCTAAATTGTTGTACAGTTTGCTGAGTTTTTCATTGCGAGTTATAAAATGATCACACTATGAAATTACACATTCTTTGAGAACGATTCAATCATTATTTGAATATTTCTATTATTATCCGTTATATCGCGATTGGCAAATACACGATATTCATTCTCAGTTAACAGAAATACTGACTGGCCCAATTAAAATTCAGGAAAGTTGAATTCGCAACAGAGAAATTTGTTGTTTTCGCGAATTTTGTATGGCTGCCAAACCGTTTTGAAATCGTGCTCAATAATTGTTGTTATCCTACACCTTTCAACCGTATCAGTATCACACCCAAATGATATATATGTCATAAATATATATATGCTAGTTTTACTTGAATTATTTTCGTTTTCATTCTTGGCATCACTTGGAGTTTTATTTCTGTGAGACATACATACTATGTGTCATCTGCTCGATTTAGACTTGAACTTTTTGTGTTTTCATATACGTATTGTTCAAAATAGAACGCATATTTGTATTCGGAAACTTGCTCTATATCTTAGAAACAAGGTTATGTATAGAGGGTGGCCCTTTGAAAATGAAACAGAGGCTCTGTAGGACGCCAGTACGAGATATTTAAAAAACACTGGAAAACGTCAACTACATTTTCGAGGGACACATCGTTCTAAAATATTTTCACCGCTGCGGCGTTGCCGCGTCTATCCAAAAGTGGAAACAACTTTGTTATTTCAAATAGAACACACTGTATTTCATTGCATTCACAGATTTTCCCTGAATAGATGATTCCATCGATGCATCACACTTGGGGGTCTAGCGGTAATGATTACAGAGATAGGGTACGTGTTCATGATCGAGATTTTTCAACTCTAGGACTTTTATGTGTCGAAACTATTCATCATTGGTCAAAATGACTTAAATGTCCCTATCTCAATTTTTGACTTACTATCTACTGACATTTAAGTAGAACAAATACAGGATGGTTCAAGATTCAAAATTCTTATCACCCTGTATCTGTTTCAAAATGACTTGAATTTCCCTATCTCAATTTTTGACTTACTATCTACTGATATTTAAGTAGAACAAATACAGGATGGTTCAAGATTCAGAATTCTTATCACCCTGTATCTGTTTCAATTAACTGTCAGTAGATAGGGAATTAAAAATTAAGATAGGGACATGTGAGCCGTTTTGACCGACACATAAAGATCCTAAAGTTGAAAAATCTCGATTTTGAACACCCTATATCTCTGTAATCATTCTAGCTAGACCCCAAGTGTGATGCATTGACGAAATCGAGTCTCGAGGGAGAATCTAAGAATGTTATGAAATACAGGGTGTTTCGTTTAGAATAACAAGGTTGTTGCTACTTTAATATAATTGAACATGCATATTTTCAGTCGTGTTAGCTCAACCCCCTAGAAGGGGTAGATGTTACCCTTAGAACCTTATATGAAATTTGAAAAGGAAGGTCAAGATGCACATCATTTTGAACGGCGTTCAGGTCTCGTTTTCAGCTATACCCTAGTTTTTTATTTTTTGATAAGCAGTTTCCGGTATATGCCGTTTTAAATTTACAGAAGTAATTCGAACATGCCTGCACTGATATCTCCACTGATATGCATGGTTTTTAGGGTGGTATTATTGTATTGACCCTTTCAGTCCAGATTCTAGGAAGATTTTGAATGCATTTCAGTGCAGGCATGTTCCAATGACTTCTGTAAAGTCTAGAACGGCATTTTTCAGAAACTGCTCATCAAAAAATCATAAACTAGGGTACTGTTGGTAGGAGAATTGATTGCTATTTGAAATAATGTGCATCTTGACGCCCTTTTCATATGAGGTTCTAAGGGTAATATCTACTCCTCCTAGGGGGTTAAAGAGGGCTAAAAATATGCATTCAAAGTGCCCCCTTCGATTTTTCATTTTATTTACTGATAGATATTAAGGGTGGGAAGTTTCCTAATGGAGACGGCAATTTTTGGAAATTGCTCAACAGAAAATGATAAACTAGAACACCGTTGGAAAGAGAATTAAACGCCCTTCAAAATGATGTGTCAGTTGACCCTTCCCAATAAAGATTCTAATGGTAACATCTACCCCTCCTTGGGGATTGAACCAAGAGGGATAGAAATATACATTTTAAGTGTCCCCCTTGAAAATAAAATTAACCTGTCTTCTCGATTTTTTATATTATTTACTGGAAGAGATATATTGAGGATGGGAAGTTTTCAAAATATGAATATTTGCACAGCGATGTATGTTACTTATGATGATGATCGATTTCGATCATAGCATAATGATTATTAACCTTTCAGTTGATCATCGATAAAGATGGACACTCGTACTTTTCTACCCTAGAAATAAAAAATGTCACGGTAGAGGACGCTGGCAAATATAAAGTAACAGCAAAAAATGACTTGGGAGAAAGTAACGCAACAATCAGCCTTAACTTTGACAGTAAGTGTATTGTGTCGCTTCTTGTGTTTGCTTTGTGTGTCCGTTCTTGAGTAAAGTGTCGCCTGTCGACATTTCGTGCAAAATCTGCGAAATAACAGAGATTCCTAGATGAAGCTTCGCTCTAACATTGTCTAGATTAGAGCAACAAAAAATAGTATCCCCTGCCTGCAACTACATACTACCTCACAACACTCAAACAGAACCTCAGCGATTTCCCGCATTCACACTATTCTGGATTTCCACTACCAAAATACTCAGCAATGCAGGTTATGGGACAAGTAAAGTAAGTCGGCACTCGTGCAAAGTACAATGGACTAACCGATGCTTAATCTCAGCTCAGCTTTTAATATGCAGTTTTTAACATATTATCATTTTCTAATAAGTGTACAATATGAATCGGAAATCGTTTGGTGTGAATTGAAAGCTTAGAATAGATACAAATTGTTTGCGCAATTCATCACTATGAAGCGACCATGCAGGCAGACACAGGGCGAATGTGATGAACCTACCACCCGCACCAACAACACTTATTATTTTTTTTTCCTTTAACATTTAATACGTCCTCGAAGGCCATGTTCTTGCAAATGTGACACTTTTCTTTCAGAGTTGTACCACACAATATCTCTCTCACTTTAACACTGTTTAATGATTAAAAGCTGAGCTTTTCCTTTTTCGGTGAGCATTGTAAGTTGCGCGAGTGTTGCTGGCTGTCCTGTGTCTTGATAGCCAGTTTAGGAGAGTTTCTTCACTAGGCGATGAAGCACCGGTGCCAGAGAAGGAGGGCATCAGGCCCACTTTCACTGAACGCCCTGTCATCCGGCAGACTGACGACGGGACCAAGATTACCTTCGAATGCCGCTGTGTCGGAGATCCCAAACCCGAAATCGACTGGTAAGTTATGACTGGAAGTTCACACTCACAGAACCCCGCGAAACTTCGGAGTATCCTCAAGAATCTAAATCATTCAATCAAAATATAGGTACTTTGTTGTCCGATAAGAAGTTTCTTGTTGACATCGAAAAGTGTGTATATGAATAGACGAAAAGTTATCGCATGAGGATATCTTGGGAAAACAAGAAAAAATATAAATACAGTGTGTTACAATTATTTCCACCCCACCCTGTACTCTCGGATTCCTAGGGCGATCTGATTTTTTTTTCTCAGAGTAACGAACAAGGGAGAAATGTTGACAACATGAATATGGACTTGGCAAAAATTCTCGAATGGGGACCCAATAACTTGGTAGATTCCAATGCAAACAAAACACAAGCATGCCTTTTCTCTAGAAAAACCGATTTCACTGTGTCCAACATAAGCTTGTCAGGAGTAACCATACCTTTGAAGACATCCATTTCGATGCTTGGTATTACTATCAGCAATAACCTTCCTTGCGAAAATCACGTGAGATCAATTGCTGAAAGTGCATCCCAATAACTTGGTGTTTTGTTTCGGGACAGGAGCTATTTCACTTCCAGTCAGCTGGTTATGATCTATAAGGCACAGCTCCGACCTGTCCTGGAATACTGTTCCCATCTTTGGAGTGCAGCACCCAGACATACCCTGAAACTGTTGGATTCTGTCCAAAAAAGGGCCGTTCGTCTCGTGGGTGATGCCTCGCTCACAAACTCACTCACTTCTATGGAACACCGCAGAAAAGTTGGCGATCTGGCTTTATTTTATAGATATTTCCATGGACGATGCTTTTTCTGAAATATCAACTATTGTTCCTCCCTTGGCAGTCCCGCGAGATTAACCCGTCGAGTTGAGGCTTCGCACCCCTTCGTGGTCGGTCACTATGGAGACCTGCAGAACATCTGTTTCCAAAGACTCGTTCATCCAACGAACAGCGAGGCTCTGGAACATATTGCCAAGGGAGGTGTTCCCCGAGGCATATAACCTCCAGAAATTTAAGAAGAACACCAATTCCCATACCTTATTCCCTTGGTTCTCACGATGTTCTCTGAACATTACAGGATATCCCTTTTGGTGGGAACCAGAACATAAAAAAAATACTACTCAAGATCAAATACTTTTTCAAGCAAACAAAAAATATTAATCAGAATTTCTCAGCCAACTGCGATAACAAAAACTCCAGCAAAATTAAAGAAAATAGATAAGGGATACTACTCACAAATACTCCTACTCCTATATATTATTATTCAAAACAATATCTCATGAGGGGTGTTTTTTTTATTAACGTTTTTTTTTTTTTTTTTTTTTTTTTATCGCATGATGGTAGACAGGATTAGATCATCTGGCTACATAATGAGATAAATAACTGATGAAATCACTGAAAATTTTGATTTTTTCATTAAAAAATGAATAAAATCATACCTCACTACACACTGTTTTACCACTAACCAAACCGATTTTTTACACCTCGAAACGTTACTACCTATGTTAGCATCTTCAGGAGAAGATTAAAATTGTTTTATCAATCAACCAATCACTTTGTCTAATGGTCCTGATGAGCAGTTGCCATTTACTGCTCATCCTGATAGAGTATCCCAATGGCTGAGTGGGACAATAGATATTATTACCTACTTGTCCGTAGCCTCGAACGGTGAGTGTTCGTTTCAGCATTTTCATTAAAAAAGACTATGAAAAACCAATCTACGGAGTTATTTTTCTACTACATTCTTTAAGAGGAAAATTTCAGAGTTACATTCCCAAACATTGGAATTGCACTGAGAATGTATTTGGGTTTGATTGTATCAAATTGTACTAGAGAGCACTTATTTTCTTAACCCTACTCAGGATTGAAAGTGATTTACTCCGGGAACTGGAAAAGAAGGTTCTATTCGTTACGTTAAAATTTGATTTCAGATAATTCTTGGTTTCGACTGAATTAATATACTTGTTTTGTTAAAATAATTTAGTTGATTTATAGCAATAAGTTATTGACTGGAAAAAATTTCCCATTTTATTTGAAAAATAATTGCCTCCAGACCTCAATATACGGCTCTGTGACTGCTATCATTCCTGATATCATTCAAATTCTTAGAATTTTTATACACGGTGACTTGAAAAGCGCAATTATTCCAAAATAGTAATGTTGAGAAAATACACCCCTTGTTTTGAGAATTGGTATAAGTAGTATTTGTGATAAGTCCAAATCGATTATACTTACATCAACATTTTCGTAAACAAATACCTAATCCATTTCCTTCGAATTTGCTGGAGTTTTTGTGATCGCAGTAGGCTAAGAAATTGTGATTTTTTTTGCTCGACAAAGTAGATAATTTTGAGTAATCTATTATGAGGAGAAAATATTTTCGAATCGCCCTATATAGAAATACGAAAGTACAGGAGTGGGGTGGGGTGAAATTGTAACACATTTTATATTGTTACGATAAACGTCTGGGTTCGATGTTTTGGAAACAATCAGTAAAAAAATTGAAACGATATTTATTCAAACACAAACATTACGATACCCGATATAGGATCACGATTACGTATCTATCTAATATAACTCGACCAACACACTCATTTTTCAATTCACTCTCGCTCTCTAACTGCTGCAATTCATATTTGACCAAAGATAGGTTCTAGCATTTTCACAAATTGCAAGATATATTTCGCAAAATATGGTCTCGTGTAACAATATAAAAAGATATAGCATGAATTTTATTCCTGATGAAGCAATGAGACAAGTTACGAATATTCGAAAAGAACAAAAATGAAACAGACAAACAAAACACATATTACATATGATGTCATATTTACGTATAGTACTCTGTCACGTCTATACACAGTACACAGTCAATTATTTGTCATTGAGACAAATTGATGTCATGAAAAATATTCTGTATTTCACACGTAATTTTTGACGTACTTAAGGTCAATAATATGAACACATTTGGATGTACTCTGGTACGCAAGTTGCTCCACTAACGTCATAGGAATTTATTTTTGTGCGATCCTCATGATTAAAAAAATCTCCTCATGAGATACCAGGAATCTCATGATTTCCGCTTCGAATCTGTTGAATCTCAACAATATTCCTGAAATATATTAAACATCTCGCAAATCTTCAATCCATTGTTTGGATTCTTTTAATTACTTCAAAACTTCTTTCCATACTTGGACTAATCCCGAAAATATTTTGAATCCAAGATGGAATCTCTCAATCAAAAAATTTTGAAGTTGATTGGATTCTAAGAAAACTTGGAGAAACTTTATGAATACGGACAACCACTTCAATATGATATATCTCACAATCTTTAAGGAATCCCACAACCTTCTTGAAATCTCACAACTTATGGAAGATCTCAATAGAACATCTCACAATCTCTTAGGAATCCCACAATCTTTTTGAAATCTCATACCTCATAATGAGATCTCATTCGAGAATCTCACAATTTTCGATAAATTCCAATCACCAATGATATCCTGTGAATATTGATTAATCTTAATGGGTTTCACATCTGGAAATTCCAAATATCTCGTCAGAAATCTAATGGCTCTTCAGGAAATTTTTGCAATCTAGTCAAAATATGATAAATCTCACAAAATGAAATCTAATACGGAGCACGTATTCTGTTGAACTGATACACCCCTCGGAGTTCACACGAAGTCAATTGGTAACGGTTGGAACAAATCTATTATCAATCTTCTGATATTTTTTAACGAAATTATATCGATACCAAGAAGGAACTAAGACCCTTGGGATAGAACATCATGTAGAAGATATTGCAGACACAGGTGGCAATACTGTGGACTGATCATTGGGCACAATTAACCTTTTAACCAAATTAAGGGTCATTTATCGGCGAAAGGAATCAACTCCGTACGTACTTGAGATGCCCAATCAAAACTTTTTCATCCAAGGAATGAATCTCATCTGCTTTCACCCATTAACAGAATACGTTTAAGAAAAATTGATTACAGATAAAAAAATCCAAAATAATCAAACAAACAGAATATCAACAATAATCAAGAATACCCTGAGGGTGAAAAAAATATCTTCAAAGAATAATATGGTTGATTTTCAGTACCTCACATTACCGAAAGAAGCAGTTATAAGCTAGGTATTTACCATAACTCGTTACTTCTATTGGTGGGTCTGGATATTCCACATGCCATGTTTTTCACTCGGTAGTTCAGAAGTAGAATGTTCAACTTGTCAGTCACCCATAGGAACCATCAGCTGATATAATAATACGTCATTGACGACATTCAGTGTAACCGACCGATCAATTTTTATTTAGCAGAAACCATTATCTAGTAACACTCTCAGTATTACATTCAGTAATGTTGGCACTTAATTCTCTCGATCAAACCCATACACCATCCTGCGACAGGCTCTCTAGTCTCTCTTGGTTCTTCGTCCTAATGAGTTTCAAAATGGAAGGAAAATCAGGTTCAGATTCCGCTATAATTGGCTTTTAATCATTACCAACATTGTCCGATTCATTGTGACTATAGTACCAGAAGGCGAAACATTTAGAGAAATTTCTCCAAAAACCACTCTTCGAATGAAGAACTGAGCAACCAAGACAGGCATTTTCCATATTTATGCCAGTACCGACATCGAACAATTTAAACGCTGACGGTACAAGCATTCCAAACTCCAAACTCCTCGCATCGTTCCGATTGACTTCGTATGAACTGACCCACCGAACAAGAGCATGTCAGAATACTGATACCCCGCCTACCCCAGGTACCACGGCAAAGAGGAGATCCAGCCTAACAGCAAGTACGCAGTATCAATGGAAGTCGACCAGACGCTCTACTACCTGGCACGCCTCGAAATCAATAACGTGAAGAAGAACGACCGCGGAGAGTACCGAGCCGTGGCCAGGAACAGACACGGTCAAGGCGTGGCGACCATCAATCTCAACTTCGAAGGCAGCGACAAACCCAAGTAAGACCCTGCCGAGAGGTCGGTCGACCGCCATCTTAAGCCCCGCGTTCTGTTTCGCAGAATCCCTGACGGCAAGGCGCCCAGGTTTCCCAAGAAGCCCACCATCAGGCAAGAGGGCGACGTCCTCATCATGGAGTGCCTTCTGGAGGCTCACCCGGACCCAGACATAACCTGGTTCCAGAGCGAGACGAGCATAGCAGACAGCTCGCGTGTCCGCATGCTCAGAAAGACCACCAGCAAAGACACTTACCTTCTGACGCTCGAAATCGCGAACCCGACTCGCGAAGACGGCGGCCATTACAGGTGCAATGCCTTCAATGAGTTCGGCGAGAGCAACGCGAATATCGCGCTGAACTTCCAAGGTAGGCTGCGTAGGACGTCGGCCCATCGAATCTATCTGTCTATCTGTATTCTGTGTCTGTGAAACGTCTCAATTCCGTTACTCATTTCCACTTTGTTCCAGTGCCGTCTTGCCAACCAACCAACACTCTCTCTTCGACCTGTGTTATTGTCATTTTGCATGAGCATGGCCTTTGATTTGACGCCTGTCGTTGGCGCGTTCGTAACTTGTTTGTGTTACAGGTGGGGACAGTGCTGATGGTTTCGCACCATCCTTCATCGAGAAACCAAAAATTATTCCTAATGAGAGCGGTACTCTCATCACTATGAAATGCAGGTGTAAAGCCAAACCGAAACCGGACGTCACGTGGTTCCGAGGAACCACTGTCGTCAAAGAATCTTCCAAAATCAAAATCAGAGTCGTTGATATCGAGGAAGATAAATACGAATTGTCACTTGAGATAAAAGTGAGTATCCAATCATGATTTCCACAATATTTAATTTAGTTTCACAGGTCTCTGAGCACAGGTGTGAAGGATAAAAGACAGGCCATAGATCCTCTACCCTCTTTTCAATTACCATTAAATTGCCACCTATAGTTGTAGAAAATATCTTGAAGTCGGGCAAAATTTTGGGGTTTAATGCTAGATTTGGTTTTTACTGGGACAGGTTTCACTCGAGATTTCTATCTGATGACTGCCTTGCACTGATGAGTGCCAATAGTCAGAAACCAGTCTGCATGTGGTATACACAGCTTCGCGGAAGATAGTACCCTCCATACCGCCTTTTTGAGGGAGAAATAAATATGGACTTGGCAACAATTCTCGAATGGGGATCCAATAACATGCCTTTTCTCTAGCAAGGCCGATCTCACTGTGCCCAACGACATGAGCTTCTCAGGAGTAACCATACCTTTGTAGACCCGAAAACTTGGTTTTCTGTTTCGGGCCAGGAGCTATTTATGATGCCTCGCTCACAAACTCACTCACTTCTCTGGGGAACACCGTAGAAAAGTTGGCGATCTGGCTCTCTTTCATAGATATTTCCATGGACGATGCTCTTCTGGAATATCAACAATTGTTCCTCCCTTGGCAGTCCCCGTGAGATTATCCCGTCGAGTTGAGACTTCGCACCCCTTCGTGGTCACTTTGGAGACCTGCAGAACATCTCTTTCCAAAGACTCGTTCATCCAACGAACAGCGATGCTCTGGAACACATTGTCAAGAAAGGTGTTCCCCGAGGCATATAACCTCCAGAAATTCAAGAACATCAGTTCCTACCTTATTTCCCTTGGTTCTCACGATGTTCTCTGAACATTACAGGATATCACTTTTTGTGGGAACCAGAACATAAAAAAAAATTCGTGAAAGATATATTTCAATATTCTGTATAGCAGTAGCAAAGAATGAGTGTTTTTCTGGAAATAACTTTGAGTCTTAGGTTTTTGTATGCTTGCTCTAGACTCTGAAGTCTCTCAACTTTACACAAGAATTAGTGAATGAACTGGCAGCATCCGATTCTCTTGAATCTTTATTTCGGATACCAAAGATACTTCCCAACAAAATATTAATTGCAGAGCGTCACAGTATTCGCCGCTGAAGCAGAAATTCAGTAATTATTTTTCCATTGTCCTAAGATGGCAGAGTACCAGGTCTGAAAGTTCAGGGATCAATTGAACTCTTACTCTTAGAATATGTTAGTTGTTCAATCTGCTTATGATTCAATAGTCTCTATAGTCCCTATTTGATTTGCATTTTCATCAGGTAATACCTTTCTTACTTGCTCAGGAGGAAAAGAATACTCTTAGATGAATTAGCTCATTCTCATGTGCATTGCCCTATCGTTTGAGCCTTTCGTTTTGGTATGTTTGTACGTAGACTCTATAGACTCGACTTCTGAGTTTGTACAAGAATTGGTAAACAATTCAGCTCCAATGGAGGCAGCATTCGATTGTCCTAAACTACCACAATCTTCATTCCGGATATCAGGTTTGAATGTTCAGGAATGAAGGGAACCCTCATCAATTTACAGAGGGTATCAGTTGTTCGATTTGCTTGCGATTCAATCGTTCCTACTTGCAATCTTATTCTGGTAATACCTATCAACTTGCTGAAGAGCACTCACATTCAAACAGTCCCAGATAATCCCATTGGCATGTGCATTGCCTCATTATTAGACTTCGTAAGCATCCAGATACTGGTACTGGTGCAGGACGTTTGCACGTCAGCAACTAGTCCCTAATGGGACCTTTTTGCATCCTATTCAGGTACTGTCCATATCTGCTCTCAGAGTTTTTCGGCTGTGTTTTGTAGGCTAGTAATGTACTCAGTATCATATGCTGCAGTGGCAGGCCTGCTAGGCCTGCCAGCTATCAACTATCCACTAAGCAGCATTGGCCCGCTCTCACGATCAGCTGATAGTTTTTCACACCCACCTACATACACCGTCCTACTTCTTCTCTCATGGTCACAACCACACCATCATCTATTCCTGCCTGTTCTGTGTTGGCTCTGTTACTAACTCCATGCGCCACTTTAGGAGCAGCACTGTCAATTGGAACGCGACAGCGAATCGTGCAGGACTATTCCCAGCCGATGCTCCAAAACTTTTCAATATTCAATTTGTGAATAAAATATTGAAAAAAGTTCCTTGCTCTGGCTGGGAATCGAACCCATGAGGCATTCAGATAACTCCATCGAGGCTATCTAGCAGAAATCCTCTCAAGAGAACCGCAATCTCAATTTTGTCAGATTATTCAAACTGATAATCAGATTATTTTTCGGTTGATATCCTCTCGTCTCTTCTCTTCCAGGATCCCGCAGGTCCAGACGGTGGGACCTACAGGTGCCATGTCAAGAACGAATACGGCGAAAGCAACGCGAACCTGAACCTGAACATCGAGGCAGAACCGGAACTAGAAGGAGATGGACCAACGTTCGTCGAAAAACCAAGGATTACCTCCCACGATGGTGGTAAACTGGTCATAATGGAGTGCAAGGTTCGTGCCAATCCCAAGCCAGTTATCATGTGGTACAGGGAGAACAAAGAGGTAACGGAATCATCCAAGATAAGTATAAGTGTGAAGCAAGTGGAAGACGATGTGTACTACATCAAACTAGAGTTGAAAGATCCGGGAACGGAGGATTCCGGTTTGTATAAATGCAACATAAAGAATACACTGGGAGAACTCAATGCCAATTTGACATTGAACATTGAGATCATCCCTGTCATCAAGGAGAAGCCTAGAGTCATTAAGATAGTGAAGAAGAAGACGGTCATCGTGGAATGCAAAGTTCTCAGCAAGTTTGCGCCAGATTGTACCTGGTTCAAAGAAGCTGACGCAGTTAAACAGGATTCGAGGCATACTGTGCATGTGGAACAAGTTAAAGATGTGAGTGTTGCTTACATCTGAGTAAGTACTATTAGGAATCAATTAATTTGGCGATTTTTTAGGGTGAATTCGCTGTCAAACTTGAGATCAATGAAGTTCAAAAATCCGACAAAGGTATGTATAAGTTGGTTGCCAAAAATGAGAAAGGTGAAGCGACTTCCCAGATGGTCGAGGTCACCGAATTGCCTCCTGAAGAAAAACCTAAGGGCGAAAAACCTAAACTAACGAAGCTAACGAACATAGTAAGGTCATTTGGACGATAAAGCGATTCAGAAAGTAAACGGCAATATTTTTCAGGTTACCGAAGAAGGCAAATCCGTGGATTTCATAACGTCACTAAAAATAGAGGACAAAACCATCAAGATCACTTGGTACAAGAACACCACAGTCATCACGCATTCCTCGGAAGTTAAAATCACTTTCGACGGCACTGTGGCCAGACTCAGTATTAGCAAATGCAAAGTATCACATTCCGCTACTTATAAATGTGTAGCTAAAAACGAATTCGGTGAAGATGAAGCTTCTGCTGTTCTGACAGTCAAAGAGAAAGAGGAGGAAGAAGAGTCAGAAGAAGAGGAGGAGGAGGAAGAAGAGGTACGAAAAATGAAGAATAAAATAAATTCCATATTCTGAAATATTTGATGTTGAACAGTACTCAATCATCGTTTTTGATCAGTCTGATCGGTCGAGTATTACTCCATTTCATATGACTTCTAATTGACTACTATTATACCGAAGTTTGCCACAAACCAGTTTATTTTGTTCCATGTTAAAAAGTTTGATAATGAATAACAAACATTTGAATTTGTAGTTTGTTTTCGAATTGACTTGTCATTTGCAGTAATCATATAATAATCATATACATGATATAATTCTATAACTTTTTCGATGATTCCAGGAAGTTGTTGAGGAGAAGAAAATTGAGAAGAAAGAGGATAAGAAAGAAGAGAAGAAAGTAGAAAAGAAAGAAGAAAAGAAAGTAGAGAAAAAGGTTGAAAAGAAGGAGGAACTGAAAGAGAAACTCATAATCGACAAGGCAAGTCTTCACTTTTCGGAAATTTTGAAATCGTTCTTCTCATTTCAATGTATTTATGAACGAACAGAAGAACATTGTATTTCGATTCAACCAAACACACCGATAGGGCTATAGATATATCATAATGCTTTTAATCAAATAATGAAATTTTAACACATTCGAACTAGGTACCTAATTGTCACGATATTAGTACTTTAGGATTTTGCGGATTCTTAACATTTTCATTATTCATGTTCTCTAGAAGGCAGAGGAGAAGAAGAAAGTCAACGATATCGAGAAGTTGGACCAGAAGAAAGAGGTTAGTCACCGTTTGCATGCATACAGGGCATTCCAGTTATATGTGCAATAGACTACGAAACAAAAAAAAACACAAGACAAATTTTCAACAGAAAATAACTATATAGGTACCCGAGTTGACAATCTTTCGTTTATCTGACTTTATTTCATCAATATTATCAAGCTCTCGATTTTTTCAAGGCACATTTCTCAGAAATCTCCAATCCATTACATTATTTATTATATGTATAAATGTATATGTTTCAGAAGAAAACGTTTTGCAGAATTCGGCAGAAGTAATTGGTTTGCATTTTACTTTCCATTCGAATCTTGAATATTGTTTCGGCAGTGTTAACGACAGCATTGATGATTATAGAAACTTCACAAACGATGAGATTTACACAAAATTATTAGTCACACGACATGTTTCGCTAACACAGTAGCTTCGTCAGGTGAAATACTGATAGGTACAATGAAATAAACGAACCTTGGCTTGCATAAACTTATATAAATCCTACTTTCCCAACCTGACGAAGCTACTGTGTTAGCGAAACATGTCGTGTGACCAAGAATTCTGTAGAAATCTTTCACAGGTTTTCTGTTTTGGGCCAGGATTTATTTCACTTCCAGTCAGCTGCTTATGATCTATAAGGCACAGATCCGACCTGTCCTGGAACACTGTCTCCATATTTGGAGTGCAGCACCCAAACATATCCTGAAACTGTTGGATTCTGTCCAAAAAAGGGCAATTCATCTCGTGGGTGATGCATCGCTCACACACACTCACTTCTCAGGAACACCATAGCAGAGTTGGCGATCTGGCTCTATTTTATAGATATTTTCATAAACGATGCTCTTCTGAAATATCAACAATTGTTCCTCCCTTGGCAGTATCCGCGAGATTAACCCGTTGAGGCTTCGCACTCCTTCGTGGTCACTTTGGAGACCTGCAGAACATCTCTTTCCGAAGACTCGATCATCCAACGAACAGGGAGGCTCTGGAACACATTGCCAAGAGAGGTGCTCTCCGAAGCATATAACCTCCAGAAATTCAAGATGAACACCAATTCCTACCTTATTTCCCTTCGTTCTCACGATGTTCTCTGACCTAACCTAACCTGAACATTACAGGACATTCGTTTTCGTGCGAACTAGAACATTGAAAAAACAAAACCTTTGCTATGAATTTCCATCAAGTAACGGCCGATTCAATAAAAAAAAAAAGAAAACATTGATGACGCGCTATGTGGGAGTAGTCAACTCGGCATATGCCGTAAAATCATAGCACGTATATCTGCGATACCCTGTATATGTGATACCCTGTGTATGTCCTTCACGTGTATATGTTCGTGTTTTGTCCTCAGGAAACCAAATCCGCAGAGAAAAAGACCACTAGACGCACTTCAGTCCAACAGGTACCTATTGAAGTTAAAATCTTAATGTTTCGTGATTAATCTAATTCGTTGAATTTTCGCACAGAGCGAGGAATACAAATCAGAATCTCGTAGAAGTTCAGTGACTAAAAGTGGGGAATCTATTTTGGAAGATGGCAAGGTTATTAGTAGAAAATCTTCCATGGCTCAAGTCAACGAGGAAAATAAAACTGACTCTAGGCGTTCCTCTGTTACGGACGAGAGAAAAAAGGTATTATCTCTTGCTTGCAACCGCCGCTGATCGAAGCAGCTCTGATCATATTTTCATAAAAGCTTGAGCTATCTCATAGGTGCCCTATTATACTGTTTTATTCATGAACAATATTTCACAGATAACTAGAGACACTACAAAACTGGAGTCCACAAAAGAAGTGGTGAGTATGATGATGAATACCTTATTGAGTGTTCACGAGAAGTGGAGATTCCTATAACATTTGAGCGGTTCAAGAAGACACTTTTGACAGATTTGAATACGTCATATTTCACATTTGTTGATGCCGCTTTGTTCAAAATTGTATCCTCTAATGAATCATCTTGTATTTCTGCATTTTTGAATACCGGATATCATTTTACATATAAATTTGGACCTTTTTTGGATCAAAATATCAAGAATGCGAAATTTGTTTCAATTTTCGTAACATTTTCAGGCGATTGTGATTGTCATGGAATATTTTTTCAATTTCTTCGAACTTAAATTCAATTCATCATTTTCACCATCAAAGTTCGACTTGTTTGACTCGCAAATATCATATTCGACACCACCCTGATATTCTCAAAAAAATATTCAAATTCAATTTCCAAAATTGGAATCATAACACTATGTTTGTTGACTCATTTAAAATTTGATGACTTTGTCGTGAAGCTCCGCCAGTATCAAATGGTATGTCAATCATTCTTTCTGTATTCTCAACTTATAAACCACTTACATGAGCCAGAAGGTCAGAAAGTTTGCAGGCATCAAGAAATTCGTAATGTAATGCATTCCAATTTGTCAAAATTTGCAAAACTGTATCTTGAAGCAGTGAAGCCTCCAGCTGTGCTCAATGTCTTCTTTATTGAAGAAACAACTTGAAGAATGTAGTCAAATACACAAATGTATCACAAAAATCATTCATAAATGTTCGAGACCTAATAAGTTTCCATCTTCAGTCAATTTCGAAACTGGCTAGTGAGATTTTTCATAACTTCTTGACATCATTCAAGTTTGCTACAAAAAATGAATCAACCGTAAGTATTCTATAGGCATTCGAACAAACCTAAGTATTGACTATCCCTGATATTGAAAATTCTGAATATTGATGAATTTGCAAGAGGAAATTAGAGCTGCTCAAATGTTCAATGTATCCACATTCAGAATCAACAGCTGATAATATCAAGAAATTTTAAGTCCTCACCACTTATTATAATTATAATAATACTGATGAGGACAATTCAAAATCCAACAGAAAACACCTGACACTCCATCCAATCACATAGAAGACGCTTCTTCAAAGAAAGCAGAACCGAAAAAAGAGCCGGTAAAGAAACCAGAAACGAAACTCAAATCGCCACCACCAAAACAAAGGCCAGAATCAGTCAAAACTGAAACCAAAACGACTGCAAACACAGCCGAACGAAAAACCAGTATCACCACACAAAAAACCGAACCTGACAAGCCTCTTGGCAAACCTCAGGAAGAGAAGCCCAAACTATCTGCTCCTCAAGAAAAGGCTGCAGAGCCCGCGAAACCATCGAAACCAACACCTACCACAACCACAACCAAACCTGAACAACCTGCAACAAAGCCCATAGAGGAGAGTAAAACACCTATCACAAAACTCACGACACCTGTCGAGAAGAAAGCAGAACAAAAAACTTCAGAACTGAAAGTCACTAACTTGGAAGATAGGAGGGCATCTTTGAAGAAGGTATATTCGAATGAACGCTTGCAGATGTTCTACTTTCGCGTGGTTTCCTCACTGAAATCTCATTTTGCTGCTTTTCAACGAATACCTCAGCAGACCTTGGAGTTTTTTAAACCCGAGAGAGAATTCGATGATTGCTGTATCAGATTTCTCCTACTACCTCTTTTCTTTCTGCTGATATATGCTTTCTTTAAGTTTAACTTATAGTACATTAATGATAACCTAATACGAATACCATTAGGCTGCACAATATTCCTTCAAATACACGCTTTGATAAACAGCACCAATTGAATTGAATATAATACAGATACAGGGTGTTTTCAAAGCAATCATCAAATCACACCATGTCACCAGAATTCGCCTACTTACTCAAAAGTTACAAGAATTCACCTGATCCTGTTACAGCCCTAGACTCGCCGTAAATAGAAAGCATGTCAAAGAATTCATTATTATCGTGAGAAATAATTGAGAAAAATAATATCATCACAACAACGCCACACGCCACGATACGCTACATGATTAAACAAACTGAACAATTCCTATTGTATAGGCGACTTTTGGTGCGAGAACCTTTATTTTGGTGAGTTCTTCACCCTATTTCGAAAGATCCTTCACGTTTGAGAACACCCTGTTATGTCACCTCCGCATCATATGGGAGTTTTTGCAATTATTTAGTTTATGCGAATTCGGGACTCGTGAACAGTTTCAACTTTGAAAATGATGCAAATTAGTCGAAATCAATAGGTAACCAACAGTAAAATTCCGAGGAATAACCTCGGAGGGTGATCTCAGCTGGAAAGATCATATTTCTATAATAATGAAGATGTTTTCGAGTGACAACGTGAAATGAAAAAACTTCACCGCCCCGCGTGAGAGTCGAACTCACAACCTCTGGGTTACATACCCAACGCTCAAGCAATTGAGCTAACAGGACATCCGTCGATCAATCGGCAGGAAGGTCGAGTTTAGGCCCTCCGCACACGGGTCGATCGGCGACATGGGCGACGCGATTCGAATCGTACGACGGTCTCCCCTCTACTCGACTTCCTGAGCAAAGCATCTGGATCCCGCACACGGGTCGTTTAGTTTAGGCCCTCCGCACACGGGTCGATCGGTGACATGGGGCGACGCGATTGCAATGATGTCACAATTTCTGCATTCGTACGATTCAAGAAACGGGAGTGTGTGTCATCCGCATATGGGTCGACGTTTTGTGTAGTCGACTCGCGTCTGATCAACTTAGTTATTCTATTTTTTGCAACTTCAAAAAGAAATGTTTTGCTAAAAATGAGCAGTTCCAATGGCGAGGAGGACATATTCATGTTTTTGTGGCCTCGGCAGATCAGGAGAAAAAGAAGACAACGAAGTTTATGGGTGCATCCGTACATTGCACGAAATTTTCACACTCGACTTTTTGTTACTGCAAGTGAAATGCAAGAGTGACACAAAATTTCTGGCATTTTATAGAATGTCGAAGGAATCATATATTGATTTAGTGGAAAATCTTGCTCCAGCCATGAATTATATGGATTCAAATATGAGGGAATGTGTCAGCGCAGAAGAACACATACTAATAACATTGATGTAAGATTCATATATTTCAAAAAATCAAACAGTTCCTAAAGCTGAGAGTATAAATTGGAAACATAAGATTATATGTTCTAGTTACTGGAAGTAAAGAACTATCTACGGTAGGTAACACAAATATTCACAATGATTGAAAAATTCTTGAACAACTTTCTCCATTGAGACGCAAGATTCACTCGATCAAACTGCTTCCTTGCTAATCGCGTGAGACTGAAAACGAGGAGATCTTAAATCGTACGTTCCTAGACGACCACTAAACGACCCGTGTGCGGGATCCAGATGCTTTGCTTAGGAAGTGGAGTAGAGGGGAGACCGTCGTACGATTCGAATCGCGTCGCCCATGTCGCCGATCGACCCGTGTGCGGAGGGCCTTAGTGGTCGTCTAGAAACGTACGATTTAAGATCTCCTCGTTTTCAGTCTCACGCGATTAGCAAGGAAGCAGTTTGATCGAGTGAATCTTGCGTCTCAATGGAGAAAGTTGTTCAATAATTTTTCAATCATTGTGAATATTTGTGTTACCTACCTTAGTTCTTTTCTTTCAGTAACTAGAACATATAATCTTATGTTTTCAATTTAGACTCTCAACTTGAGGAACTGTTTGATTTTTTGAAATATATGAATCTTACATCAGTATGTGTTCTTCTGCGCTGACACATTCCCTCATATTTGAATCCATATAATTTATGGCTGGAGCAAGAGTTTCCACTAAATCAATATATGATTCCTTCGACATTCTATAAAATGCCAGAAATTTTGTGTCACTCTCTTGCATTTCACTTGCAGTAACAAAAAGTCGAGTGTGAAAATTTCGTGCAATGTACGGATGCACCCATAAACTTCGTTGTCTTCTTCTTCTCCTGATCTGCCGGTGCCACAAAAACATGAATATGTCCTCCTCGCCATTGGAACTGCTCATTTTTAGCGAAACATTTCTTTTTGAAGTTGCAAAAAATAGAGTAACTAGGTTGATCAGACGCGATTCGACTACACAAAACGTCGACCCATATGCGGATAACACACTCCCGTCTCTTGAATCGTACGAATGCAGAAATTGTGACGTCATTGCAATCGCGTCGCCCATGTCGCCGATCGACCCGTGTGCGGAGGGCCTTATCGTCACACAACAGGCGGCAGAATCCCTCCAAATCCCAAAGTCACTCGAAATCTTTCGATGGCAGGATGGTACTATACAGTCTCCATTTTTTTTCGTTCGTCCTCTGGCATTGTCTTTCCTTGTATACCGAAATGTCCGCAAGCAAACTATGCATAGAAGTGAGTGATAATTTTTGTCGGTTACTCGACCGAAAACTCCACCTCTTATATCTAATGAAATCGAAAGAATACATACAAAAATATTTCAAATTGGATGTATGCAGAAAGTTGTTGACTTTGAAACTTCAACTTTGCAGAAACCCGGCCACTTTACTTTATGACACTTTACTATGGGGTAATTCTTCAGCGGCACAGCAATTATTCCTAGAACTGAAAAAAGCATTGAGAACCATGAAAAGCTTATCATCCAGACTCTCTCGCAAACCCCTATTTGTTGAGCTGAATATATTACCCCTAGCATGTCTTTATATAATGTAATTAGCATGCTACATTCATAAAATCAGAAACACTCTTCCTAGGCATATGGATATATATTGCTTTCAAACCAGATACAACCAGTTTGTAAACCCAAGTCAGAATAACCTGCAAATATCATCAAGTGGACCACTTTCAACTGTTTTAGGAGTCTATAACCAATCACCTGAAGAGATGAAGAACCAATCAACACACTCCAAGTTCCTAAATTCCATCAAACATTTTCTTATGGCAAATCTATTTTCATGTTCATGTGAATGTGTTTTAACACTTCTAATTTGTGTGTTGTTTTTACATACTCACATTGAGGAATTTTATAATTTTAGACACATTTTGAACAAACATGTACTGTACATTGACCTTGACAGATTCTATACCTAAATTTGGTGTTTTTGAATAAATAAAATATTTGATTTGATTTGGAACATCTTTGGTAGATGGAAAAAATGAAAACAAAAAAATCATTCAGCATTTTGAATAATACCATCTTGAGTTTGGCAGGTATAGCAGATCGATGTACATTGACCTTGACAAATTCTATACCTAAATTTGGTGTTTTTGAATGAATAAAATATTTGATTTGATTTGGAACATCTTTGGTAGGTGGAAAAAACGAAAACAAAAAAATCATTCAGCATTTTGAAAAATACCATCTTGAGTTTGGCAGGTATAGCAGATCGATAGAAAAAATCGCCAACGTAACATTTTGCGATACTTTTGAAGCGAAAACTGTTCATGAACTCAAAATTGGAGGAAACTAAATTGAAAAAGTTCCCATATTATGTTACCACACTGAATAAATGAGAACACGAATAACCAATAAATCCGCGTCACATTTGATTTCTTCAAAGATTACCCGATTGAAGAAAATCATATTAGCTGCACACTTCATCAGTGACACTGTAATTGAAATTACCAAATTAACGTGATATATTTGTTTCATGTTCCTTCTCTGTGTGATGTCCATTGATCATGATAACTTCAGACAGAGGAAAAGCAACCAGAACAACCTGCTCTAAAGGTAAGAAAGTTCAATAGCAACCGATATCAACGTATTCGTTCAGTTTTTATCCATATATAATTGTGTGTTGTTTGAACAGCCAGAGGTGAAACCAAAGAGGATTATCCCTCCAAAAACGAACATTAAAGCTGATTCGTTTATCGGTATACAATTGAAACCTGTTTCTAAAGATGGCAAAAAAGCAGAAAAAGCCAAAGACGAAATCGATCTTAAGGTAAAATCCAGGCGAACTCTTCTTCGCAATGTCTCCATCCTGTGCCTGCAGCAATCTTTCAACTCTTCCTTCTTATTCTTATATGTTTCCTCTATCTATCTATCTATCTATCTATCTATCTATCTATCTATCTATCTATCTATCTATCTATCTATCTATCTATCTATCTATCTATCTATCTATCTATCTATCTATCTATCTATCTATCTATCTATCTATCTATCTATCTATCTATCTATCTATCTATCTATCTATCTATCTATCTATCTATCTATCTATCTATCTATCTATCTATCTATCTATCTATCTATCTATCTATCTATCTATCTATCTATCTATCTATCTATCTATCTATCTATCTATCTATCTATCTATCTATCTATCTATCTATCTATCTATCTATCTATCTATCTATCTATCTATCTATCTATCTATCTATCTATCTATCTATCTATCTATCTATCTATCTATCTATCTATCTATCTATCTATCTATCTATCTATCTATCTATCTCTCTATCTCTGAGAACTTCTTGAAAGGTAAAGCTTGAACTGAAGATGCTTCACTCTGAATATTGGCTCCCAATACCATCTTAGCACTCTCTTTTCTCTCTTTCTTGTGACTAATGAGTATACTCTTCTATGTATATCGGATCTTACGCAGCTCAAGGAAGATGCAGCAACTTGATTAACTCTACGCTATTGGTTCAGTGACTTGGGTGATGACGTATTCGATACTTGAATTCAACACCAATTACAACTCAACAAATTATTGGAGCTACTAAAAAACTGAAAAATAAGTTGTCATGTGGTCCTGATAGAATTTCAGCCAAAACTCTCAAATCATTATTGAATAGCCTCATGGCGCCGCTATAAATTATATATAACTACATTATAAAAAATCGCCATTTCCTTAGAATACGGAAATTGTCAAAATTAGGCCCTGTATTCAAGTCTGGAGAGGTGTTGAAAATCATAGGCCAATTACATTAATGTCAGTTTTTTATAAAATACTGGAAATTAAACTACCATTTAGATATGATCTATAACCATGTCCGTTCCTCACTGTTCAATTTTCAACATAACTTCATCAAGGCACGTAGCACTGCAAATAATCTCTGTATTTCCACTGAATTCGTCTCTGATGTACTTGATGATAAAAATCAAGTTGAAGTTATCTACACGGATTTCAGTAAGGCGTTTGATCGTGCATCACATCAACGACTACTAATGCAATTGTCTAACTTTGGCATATCACCCGATATTCAGTTGCTCCTGAAATCATATTTATCCGACCGATGTAGTCATATTGAATGTGATGGTATAAAATCCTCCTGCTTTGTAGCGAGTTCGGGTGTTCCACAAGGGTCAATTCCTGGGCCGTTATTATTTATACTATTCATAAATGCGACATAGCCGATGGCACTTCTCATAAACTGCTATTTGCAGATGACAGGGAGATATATCGTGAAATACAGACTGTTTCACATTGCAGGAGGACTTAAATTCGTTGACTGATTGGTGTAATCGTAATAAATTGTACTTAGATGAAAATAAATGTGAAATCATGACATTCACTCGTAAAATCCTACCAGTAACAGTCAACTATGTACTAGATGGTAACGTGGATCACGGAATCAATGGATCTAGGGGTTATGTTTGATCTGTGTATTTATTCATAATGCTGATTGCATACACCTGTAAATGGGCTTTTGGGCCTCCTGGATGTATTGTATCGATAAATAAATAAATAAATACCATATATTAGTTCCAAATTCCAAACAGTAATGTTTACATGGATTGTACAGATTCTCAAATTGATTCACATAAGGTTGCGATGAAATAATCAGGGAGAAGTCTTCACTAAAATAAGAATCAGCTTGTATTTGGATTGTACACGTGATATTTCGTCATCCAAGTTCACAACACAACTCAAAAACTCCTCTCATATTGTTCATCTTCTTTCTATTGAACATATCTTCTGTCTAAGTTTGTTTTTTGTGTTTTCATCTTATCAATGTTCACTATGTGGAACTGGCTAATATTGAAGCCAGATCCACCTGGTGCTGATTGGTTTTATGTCTATCCTTCCTACTGGTTTCTATACTATTCTCTACTCTATGCTGGCATTTTAATGAATCACAGTTTTCCCAAAATCAACATTCAAATAACTTTCCCAGAAAACTACGGTAGACAAACAGAAAACGACTGTGAAGAAAACAAAGAAGGATGACAAGGAGACATACAACGAATGGGAAAATATTCCAGATTACGAAAGACCAGTACTGGAGAAATTTGAAAAGCATGCGCCAGTAGAGTATGCCGGTAGAGAGAAAACCAAACTATCCAAGGTAGCCAAAACGAATATTATGCTTCGCATGCTGCTTCAATATCATTTGCAGCTAAATCAGAGAACTTTCACCTGGTCTCAACGGAAGTTAATGCATGTGTCTTTTTCTCAATTGACCACGAAATGAATTTTCATTTGGATTCATGACAAGGATTTGTTGAAAAAAATGAACTGCATGTTGAAGTTTTACTAGAACGAGGAGTCGTCGTAGTCCGATTAGGAACGTTTGTTGCTTCATAGACGGGACCGGTTATCTTACCTCCAGCTGCAAAATCTTCCCAAGCTCGCAACCAATAACGCTTTTCCGCTCTGCTTGCTCAAACAGTTTCAGTTAATACAAAAACGGAAATCGCTATAGGAAAAACCGAGCCTAGCAGTCGAAGGCAAAGAGAAACAGCCTACTCAGGCTACCATCTCCGATCAACCTAGGCCGAGCCTTCCCCAAATAAAAACACCTGAGGCGCCAAAGATCGAAGTGAGCAAAGAGCGCACTCCAGAGCCTAGGAAGAAATCCCTAGAACCTGGATCAGGCCCAGGAAGCCGAAGAGGTTCACTTATACCTCCAGAGGCTATGGGACGACGGGCCAGTCTCATCATCACTGACGAGGTATGTGTGATCGGGTACAGAATGATTCCTTTTCTTTTTATCTTTATTTAGCTGTTCACTGTTCGTGTCCTGTTGCCTGTGGATGTCCTGAAGTGTTTTTTTATTCACGTTTGAACTCTTTTCATAGGAACGTAGGAAACTTCGTCCTGGAGAGGTTTTGGAGGAGAAAAAGGTAACCTACAGAATGTTTACATCGTTAGCCTGGCGCCTTCTTTAATAAACCATTGATCTTCAAAGGAATGCAGACTGAGCGAACGTATTCATGATGCTTTCACTGTTGAAACTTTGTAACATATTGGCAACCTTTAGGTAGCCTTCGAAATTTTATCTGACACATCCACTAAAATAACTACACTGTCTGGTACTCCGTTACCTGAACCCTCATATTCACACGAAATAGAAATGAACCATAGACTTATTTTCCCAAGAAGAAGCAAAATTCGGTTAACAAATCTATATTGGTTTTGCTCAGAAAGAATTACGAGTAGGTTTATACTTTTATAAATCACGAAGAATTATGTGAATTACCCTTCAAAATTACATAGTACTTTTGTGGCTATTCCACAAAGCGTTGTTCCTTTCGGTTCATAATTCTGTCTCCTTGTGATAATAAATCTATGGAATGAACTCAGGAAACACAAACATCACCATCAACCTCCTCTTTAGAAACATTATTATTATTATTATATTGAACCCGATGAAAATACAAGCAGAGCCAGTCTCATCGGCAAAGTTAGTCATTTCACAAAGAATCACCCATACACGGAAAAAAATGGTCCAAGTAAAATGTTTTCCTGACTTGTTTTGTATCGGGATAAGAAAAATAATACCTATTCCAGAAACAATTCAATTCAGCCTCTAGTAAAATGATAATTCTGAACGCATGAACTTGTAGCTATAATTTCATCCACCTATAGCAAATAGTTTTCATCTTAGATAATTCACTCTGTATAGCCACAGGAAAACATTTTATAAGCGCTGGTGAAGTGTATTTCAAACTTTATTAACTTCGAGTTTCTGAAAAGAAAATAATAACTACAAAAACTCGTGTTACAAGCACAATACAATTGTTTATCTGCGGTACAACCCAATATACCTACGGTAATACAACATGTTCACCTGCCCAGTAATCGGGAATAATCGTCCCCCTCTCGTGTTGTATATCCGAATCCATCAGCGTCACTACTGTCACTAGCGTCAGTTTCGTCGAGACTTCGTGAGAGTATGTTCAGTGTGAGGATTTGGTGCGCGTGGTTAATCGAAAAATAATTTTTGGTGTTGTATTCATTATATTATGCTGGGGAAGTATGACTCATCACCACGAGAGGTATAGAAGGTGCCATTCAGAATCCCTTTTGGGGGCGGCCGAGAGTTATAGACAACCAATAGTGCTGTTTTACTTCCTATCGATCTGTTATTCACTTAGAAAAAGTTTATCATTGTGTGGAAATTACGTTATTCATAGTAGTGAGTCCTAAAATAAAACTCCTTCATGTATTTTGCTGATGATATGTAGGATGAATTGACATTATATAGTAGGATTCCTGTTCAATTAAAACTGGTGGAAACCTACATTTTTCGTTTCCTTTCCTCAACGAATCATTAGTTTTTTTGTTATTTCTCACAACGTTCATATTTTTTTACGAGTAACTGTTCATCAATTCATCTGAATAATGTATTGAGACAACCATTCAACAACGTATAGAACAGTGCCAATTATGATTTCAAACAGAAATATATCAATTTTATTAATTAGCCGATAGCCACCCTTATGGTACACTCGGAATCCTATATTATCAATAATTGTCACTTAGAAAACATTTGCAAGATATGAACTGAACCATTGCTTTCTTGGTGACATTGAATCATTATTCATTTCATGGTGAATTGAAAATGTATTGTAAGAAAATAAGGCATGATACATTACAAATGAATCAAATGATCCTTGTTTGGATGATGCCAAGTGAATTAGGAGTGAAGACAGGAAGAAAGTTCGACTGAGTCTGGTGTATCCCGATAACAAAGATGGGATGAAAGCTATCCAAGGTAAGACATTATAGATGAGGCCAAGTGAATCAAGATAATTGTAGTTATTAAAATAAGCACCTAGCCAATAATGTCGTTGCATAACTCCAAGTGAAAAGTACACTACCCACAAGTGAGGTATTCTATGAGGCCAAGTGAAACAAGTCACCTATACTTATCGAACTGACCACCTATCCAATGATTCAGTTGTATAACTGCAAGTAAAATGTACACTAAGGCCAATAAAACAAATATTCTGTCCCTGATAGAGCGTTTAATATCAGTAGGTTACATGTGTTCCTGAAATCACATTAATAACAACAAGTGATCAGATTCAGAAATATCATTTTTCTTGTGGCTGATGAGGCGAGTACTTGTCCCATATAGTATGCAAATTTTTACTTGGTAGTATGCAAATTTCACTAGCTGTTATTAAAGTTTTTTTTCCGTGATACGAATTGCAAAATAACGGTCGAAAAACAAAAACTCCTGTTACATCTCTGGTAAAAAAATATTCATGTAATTTTTCACCAGAGAAAAACAATTGAGAAAAATAATTTCATCACAACCCCATACCTCACAATAATACGCTACAAAAATACACAAACTGAACTATTCGACCAAAGTCTTGCCGGAGATCCGTATAATAACAATCAATGGAATTTATGATTATTGTTCAACAAATTCGTTATTTTGCAACTCTTATATATGCGGGATTTTTAGTTTGGATCGTTGATTTTGATGAGTTTTACATCGGATCGTGTATGCCTTACCTTTCGAACCACCCTTTAGTAGGTATATTTCATATTTTTTTATCGTGAAACCTGTTTCGGTTTTGTAGAGAAAGCTAGTTCAGTTGAACTTCATATGCTGTTCAATAATTCCCGTGATTCAATGTTGACAAAACATACCTTAATAGATTCTATAGGACTACTGAATTATATTTATTCGTCCTCTGTACCTATAATCGATGTTAATTCAATATTCACACTGAAATTCACTGTCAATCGACTTGTAGAACCATTTCTCCGAGCAAGAAATTGTGTTTTTTTTTACCATCGGAGAATAGTTCTCCTTTTTATAAACTGAACTGATGCATGTTGCAAAGAATACCTCATTCTTTGTGATCTGTTCAAGGCTATTATGTCGTTGATCATTTTAATCTGACATTATTCAGTCCCAAGATATCAAGAATATTCATCGTTCTAGGGTTGTGCTCAACAACAAAAATCACGCGACTTGTCCATGAAGATTTTTAGTCCATTTCCACGAAGTTCACTATCTATGGTCGGTATATCTATCAGCAATACACTTCCATGAAAAAATCATGTCAGATCCATCAAGAAAGCTTCTTCACAAAACTCGGATTCTCCTATATTGTTTAGTTCTCACATATTATGGGGTGCAGCACCCAAACATACGCTGATGATGCTCGATTTTACATCCAGAGGAGAGCCATTCGTACACCGTAGAAAAGTTGGCGACCTTCCACTTTTCTATAGATACTTCCACGGGAAATGTTCTTCAGAAATCTCTTCTATCAATTACGAAAATGAACGACAATGGTAGATTACGAGAGAAAAACAACTACTTTCCTGGCTAATTCCACGCAGAACATTGCATTACATCGAAATCAATAGGCATTCAGGAAATAATCACTTGTATCAGTATTCGTTTATACACTGAGAAAAATTCCTAGTAACGATAGTCAGAAATCGAATTACCCCAGCAAGAAACTGTAATAGCATAGGGGACTATCACCCGTGATTATGAAGTCGACTTTGCTGAGTATAACCCATCTGCGATTATTAGATATAGAACCTTGCTGCCACTTGCGAGTGCATCTGTATCGGGTGGTCACAAAAAAACCGGAAGTTTTTATTTTCCTCGTGGTTTCATCATTTCTCAACCGAATTCGAATTTCTTGCCGTCGTTTCATAGCTGAAAGGCTATAGTAGTATACAGTGAAATATTTGAAAATTTTATGATGAACAAAAACAAAATGGCGGATTCTACCAAAGTATTGTCATTTACAAAAACCGCTGGAGAAAAATAAAATCAGATTTTTCTCAACCTGTACCGATGTCATCTTAGGCTATTCATTTCTGAAGAGAATGAGTACTCGAACATCGAAATCGAACAAATAGTCCAGTAGATACACTAATTTCTTTGCAATTTGTTATGGAGTGAATGTGCTAATCTCGTATAAACGATTGTTATTATTTTGCTTCAGGCTTCATGAAAATTTGATCGAATTTGGATCTCTTAGAGTTATCTCAAAGATAAAGAACTGTAGTACATAATGGAACATTTCAAAATCCAATAATTGAAAGCAACAAAATGGTGGAGAATCCAGAATTTTTGTAATTTTCAAAAATCTCTGGCGAATAAAGAAATATTCATTTTCTCAATCAGGACCGATACAATTTCAGATCATTGATTTCTAAAAAAAATGAGCACTCGAACATCTGAATCGAACAATTAGTCCAGGAGAAACACGTTCTTTTTGGCAAAGTGTTATGGTGTGAATGTGCCAATCCCGTGATGAGAATTACTTTCAGTTTGCTTCTGGCTTCATCAGAATTCAATCGAATTTGGATTTTTTAATGCCATTCCAATGCTGATTAGCTGTAGTACACAGTGGAACATCAGAAAATTTCATAATTGAAAAAAAAACGAAATGTTGGAGTGATCCTAACTTCCGTGATTTACAGCCGGAAACTATTCAATAAATTTCGACAACGTTGCTATCTTTGATTCTTGTTTTGTTCGCTAACATAAAAAGTGTACGATCTCTTCAAAGTTTCAAGACTAAAATCTAATCTTTTCTAATAATATCCTTAACTGTTCTCCCTTTCATGCCTGTTCGGTATGAAACTTGACAGACTATTAGAAATCAATGAAAATTGTATCGGTCCCGATTGGAAGAATAAACATTTTTTTATTCGCCAGAGATTTTTGAAAATCACAAAAATTCTGGATTCTCCACCATTTTGTTTCTTACAATTATTGGATTTTCAAATGTTCCATTGTGTACTACAGTTCTTTATCTCTAAAATAACTCTAAGGAATCCAAATTCGATTGAATTTTCATGAAGCCTGAAGCAAAATAATAACAATCGTTTATACGAGATTAGCACATTCACT